CGGTGTTGGTCGGCTTTTCAGGGGCGCCCGCCAGAGTAATAGGGCGAGTGCGTCTACCGGTTACCTTGGGCGATGGGGAACAAAGGATGACGTGTGCCATCGATTTTGGAATAGTGGACTGCCCGTCGCCATACAACGCGATTCTGGGGAGACCCCTCCTGGCCTTGTTTAACGGCGTGGCCTCCACTTGCCATCAGACGTTGAAGTTCATTGCGCCACAGGGAGTAGGCGTAGCACGGGGACGGGGCGCCCCGCGTTACGCAAAAGAAACGGGACGGAAACGGAAGGGTGCCGAAGCAGTCAATATGGTGGAATCGCGGCGGAAGAGGCGCCCAGAGCCGAAGCGGCCGACAAAGAAATTATGGTGGCACTAGACGAGGAGCGACCGGAAAGACAAGTGAGAATATCGGCGGAGGCGCCCGACGAAATGAAGGAGCGCATCGTTGCCCTTCTGAGGGAGTTCACGGAGCTTTTCGCATGGAGTGCATTGGAGATGCCGGGTGTCGCCCCCGAAACTACCGTGCATCGACTGGCGGTCGAGGAAGGTAAGCACCTCGTACACCAGAAGCGGAGAAACTTATCGGCGGAAAAGGAGGCGGCACTCAGGGTCGAAGTGGATAAACTCATGGGCGCCAACTTGGTCGAAGAAACATCCTATGTCACTTGGCTGCCGAACGTGGTTTTCGTGCCGAAACCGTCAGGGGATTGGAGAATGTGCGTGGATTACACAAACCTGAACAGAGCGTGTCCGACGGACGCCTATCCGATGCCCCGAATAGACCAATTGGTGGACGCCACGGCATATCATGAGATGTTGAGTTTTGTGGACATGTTCTCGGGGTACCACCAGATCCCGATGGCAGAGGAAGACCGACCCAAGACAGCATTCATGACGCCCTTCGGAAACTTTTGCTATCGGGTCATGGCATTTGGACTCAAAAATGCGGGCGCCACTTATCAGAGGATGGTCAACAATGTCTTCCGTAAGCAAATCGGCCGAAACGTGGAAGCCTACGTTGACGACTTGATAGTCAAGAGTCGGAAGCGCGAGGACCATCTGGAGGACCTGCGGGAGACGTTTCAAGCTATGCGGGCACACAATCTCCGCCTCAATCCGTTAAAATGCGTGTTTGGTGCTGAAGCGGGCAAGTTCCTGGGATTCATGATCACGAAACGGGGCATCGAGGCCAATCCGAAGCAGGTGGATGCCGTTCTCCAATTGGCACCACCAAAGGCGCCCAAGGAGGTACAAGGTTTGGCAGGAAGATTAGCGGCCCTGGGGCGCTTCATTCCCCGATCTGCGGACAAGGCAGCCCCGTTCTTCCGAACGCTCAAAAAGGGAACACGTTTCCAATGGACTGCGGAGTGTGATGCAGCGTTTGAAGAATTGAAGCGACTCCTGGCCGCCCCAACAGTTATGACGGCGCCCAAGATGGGAGAGACACTGTACCTTTATATCGCTGTGTCGGAAGTGTCGGTGAGCGCAGTACTCGTCTCAAGGGAAGCCCACTCCGGAGAGGAAAGGCCGGTGTACTATGTCAGTCGGACCATGGTCGCTCATGAAAGGCGATATGCCCCCATCGAGAAGGCGGCGCTGGCAGTTGTGACGGCGGCGACCAAGCTAAGGCCATACTTTCAGGCGCACACCATTGTGATACTCACCAATCTGCCGTTGAAATCAACGTTGGGGTCAATGGACGTGGCTGGGCGCCTTATTAAGTGGGCGGTTCAGTTGAGTGAGTTTGACATTAAATATGCGCCCCGACCGGCGATAAAAGCACAAGTCTTGGCCGACTTCATTGCGGAAGGGGTAGCAGAGTCAGAGAAGGGCACGAATGAATGCTGGCAAGTGCAGGTGGATGGGGCTGCCAGTCGTACGGGCGCAGGAGCGGGAATCGTGATGATAAGTCCAGGCGGTGGGACGCACGAAGTCGCGTTGCGATTCGCAAAGCTGAAAACGAACAATGCCGCCGAATATGAAGCGGTAATCGCTGGCATGAGCATGGTCAAGGAATTGGGCGCCCGCAAAGTACAGATCAGATTCGATTCGGCCCTTGTGGTCAATCAACTTAATGGTGTCTTTGAGGTTAAGGAAGAAGCACTAGAAGAATACGTGCGAAGGGTGCGAGAGCTGGGGGCTTGGTTTGGAGAAATATCCTTCATACACATCCCACGTGAAGAAAACGCCCATGCCGACGCCTTATCCAAGCTAGCGACGGCAATAGACTTCGAGGAGGAGCGAAAGGTCATTGTCACCTCTGAAGCACCCTGCGAACACCTGGTCGCTACCATATCCAGCGAGGGCGCCGATTCCGGATGGATGGCACCCATCGTCTTGTTTCTAACACAGGGTGTAGTGCCCGACGACCAGAAGGAGGCCTGGCGCCTGCGCCGCAAAGCGGCCAGGTGCTCCATAATCGAGGGGCACCTATACAAGCGATCCTACGCAGGGGCTTATTTAAGGTGCCTAAACGAAGAGGAGAGCAGGCGGGCAATCGAGGAGGTGCAAGGCGGGACCTTTGGAATGCACGCAGGTGCCCGAAGTCTGGAAAAAACATTGCTGCGACAGGGGTTTTACTGGCCAACGATGAGACGAGATGCAAGGGCACACGTGGGCGCCTGTCACCAGTGCCAAATCCATGCAAACGACATCCACATCCCGGCGGCGCCCATGCAAGGCAATGTAGGGGCCTGGCCGTTCGCCCAGTGGGGCATGGACCTTTTGGGCCCTTTTCCAAAGGCGCCCGGTCAAATGAAGTACTTGATAGTGGCGGTCGATTACTTCTCCAAGTGGGTAGAGGCGGAACCCTTGGCCACAGTCACAGAGGCCCAAGTGCGCAAGTTCACCAAGAAGAACATATTCACCCGATTCGGCCTGCCTGAATCCATTGTCACAGATCACGGAAAACAGTTCGATTGCAAAAAATTCATCGAGTTTTGTGATGACAATGGGGTTGTGTTGCGTTTCTCTTCGGTGGCCTACCCACAAGCGAATGGTCAAGCAGAGGCAGCTAACAAAAGCATTCTTCATGGCTTACACACACGACTGACAGGCGCCAAGGGGAGATGGGTGGAAGAATTGCCAAGTGTGTTGTGGGCGCATCGTACTACCTACAAAACTGCCACAGGAGAAACACCCTTTGCCCTCACCTACGGAAGCGATGCAGTCATTCCGGTGGAACTCAACACCCCGAGTTACCGCATTGCCCAGTACGATCCAAATGACAATGACGAGGCACGATCCAATGACTTAGACATGGTGGACGAGGTGAGGGAAATAGCGGCGATCCGCCTGGAAAAAATGAAGAGACAGGTGGCCCGGTACTACAACAAAAAGATGCATGCCCATGGAATCACAGAAGGCGCCCTCGTCCTTAAACGTGACTTCCGCCCCGACGCCTGCGAGGGGAAGTTGGCACCAAAATGGAAAGGCCCGTATCGAGTCAGGGAGATGGTAGGACCCTGTACGTTCAAGTTAGAACATGTTGATGGCCGTGCAGTGAAAAGGACATGGAATGCGCAAAACCTGTGATCTTACTTAACGGACGCCATATCCGAAGAGGACGCCTCGATTTGAGAAAGCGAAAGAGGAGGGATTTCTGAAAGTGTTTGTTTTGGTTAAGACAAGTATGTAGGTGTGTTTGTGTTGTGACCAAAGCGCCCGAAAAGCAGCGCCGTATTGTGACTAAAGCGCCCATCTTATAGCGCCCCAATAATGATTTGGTGTTTGGTTTAATCGTTTCGCATGGCAAAATGCGCCCTAAAATCGCGCCCGGCAATACCGAGTAAACTAAAGCACCACATTTCGCGCCCATATTTTGCAAAAAGCGCCCTAAACATTGCGCCCTCACGTAAAACATAAACGCGCCCAACTTTGCGCCCGCCACCACACAGCATCATACGCCCATAAAAACAGTTAAGTCAAACGATGGCAAGAACGATGCAGAAGTCTTTATATAAAAAATAAAAAAAATAAAAAAGTGGGTACAACAGTCAGATAGAAAAGTCAAAACACGGCGCCTAAACCCTACTCTGCCCCTGAGTTGGCGTCTTCGGCACCGGGCGCCTTCTGAGAAGGAGATGCTGGCACGGACGTCCCGGGCGTGCCTCCCGTACCGCGGGGGGTCTCCAGGCTCCCAATCACATACTCGGCCATCTCCGTGAGATCCCAAGTATGGTCGGGATGATCCTGCTGCAGCTTCACCTTCAGAACTTCAAGCCCAGTCAGGATGGCATTGGCGCACATCCCCTTACCAGTTTCTGACTCCTCAAAGTTGTCCAAGGAACGCCGCAAGTTGGAAATTTCTTCACGTGCTGCTCTCAAGGATTTCTTGGTCTCCTTGTGGGCGTCCTTCAACATTTTCTTCTCCTCTTTGAGGATGTCGATCTCTCTGGCTTGGGCGCCTGCCTCCTGCGCCAACGCCTCCTTTTCAGCTTGCAGGTCGGCCACCTTCCTGCGCTCCTCGTCCAGGGCGCCCTGAAGCCGCGACACCTCCATGGTCGCAGTCATCTGGGCGTCCTCGCACTCTTTCGCAAACTGCTCGCGGCGTGCAGTTGCGTTCTCCAAGTCCAGCTTCAGCTGAGAAGCAGAAGAGGACGCCTCGAGCGCCTCCCGTTTGGTCTCGTTGAGGCGTCGGGCGCCTCTTTCAGCAAAGAGAAGGATCTGCAACGGTTAGAAAGAAGTCAGCAAGTTGTGCAAATACCAAACCATTCCCTTCACTTCCAGAAAACACAAGTAAGAAAGCGCGTACCTTGGCGCCCACTTGGGCCAGCTCAGCAAAGAGGTGATCACCGTTCACCTCGGACGGCACCTGCCATGACTTGGCGGCCGCAATCGCCAAGCCCATGGCGCACCCTCGGTCGACGGCGACCAAAGGGGAGCAGTTCATGTTGACGCGCCCCACATCGGCACGCCGTGGCCGGAAGATGGGTGGACGCCCGTCGGGGCCAACGTAGCGCCCCTCTTCGTTGAGGTGTAAATGGGCGTCCTCCCCCGCCTCCTCCTCCACCTCCACCTCTTCGCCGGCGTCGGCGCCCACCTTCCTCTTTCCTTTATCGGCCCTTTTGCTGGCCGAGGCTAAGGGGGAACCAGCCCTCTTCCCCCTTCGGAGCAGAGGCTCCTCCTCTTCTTCTTCAGCGGAGTTGACCTCTTGCTCCGCGGGGTCGGAGTTAGGCGCCCCCTCGCCTTCCTCCGGGGCAGAAGACGCCACGCTGGCAGTCTTCGCACGGGCGGTGCCTCCCTTCACTGCCCTCTTCTTCTTCTTCTTGGGGGGAGCAGTGGGCGCCTCCGATCGGTCGGCGGCCGGTTCGGGCGCCTCTTGTTGAACCGGCGGCTGCGAACCTGCTGCCAGCGCAGCAAGCCGACTTCTCATCAGCTTGGCGATACTGGCGTAGTCCGCCCCTGCACAATAGCAAACATGGTTAGTTAAAACACAAGGGAAACACAAACCCAAGGCAAGTAAATCCTAGGCGCCTACAGACCATCATTGTAGTACGCCTGGATAATAGGAGGACGATTCTCTGCAGGACGTAAGTCCACGCTGTCCCCCGCACAGATCAAACGGGCGCCATCTTTCTCCGCCCGAGACAATACCACGGGCGAGTTGAATTCCTCAACATGGCCCAGCTCCCACTTCCTAGTAAAGGCGCCCCCACTCTCATAAAAAGAATCCTGATACGCCTTCATAAAAAAGAAACCATTGAACCACTTGCGGTTTAGCTTGGGACACCGCGACACAAAATGGTTTGGGCGCTTCTTCCGCTTCTAAAGTGACAGACAGTTGTCGAGGGGCGCCATTTTAAAAAAATACCTAAACAGGTTAAAAGTGGGTTCCACGTTGTTCTCTCAACACCGCAACTTGAAGAGAATCACGATGGTGATGACAGAGGGGGACAGGCGCCCCAACGAACAGCCACACATCGTCAAGATCCCCTCCATAATGTGGTCAAGGGGGAAGTGCAGCCCAAAGCGGAAGTACTCCTGGTACACCCTGATCCATTTGGGCCCGCAGACGCCCACTCGCGAGATGGGAGAAGGAGGCGCATACCACCAATCGTGCGGCAGCTGCAGGCTTGTGACGAGCTCATGGACGCGCGCTAGAGTGACCGTCGACTGATGCTTCGGCCCGGCCACATCGAAAGGCAAATGGGCCGTCTCCGTCGGTAGATGGTCTGGGGGGAAGCAATTCTCCCACGTCGTGATCTTGTAAGATCCGTCTGCCGGCAGGAATCCGGGCGCCGAGGAGGTAGATGGCCCGGCAGATGTCGAAGCAGGCGCCCCCTCTAAACCAACAAATGATCCAGGCGCAACGAGGACGCGGGGTAAGTGACGCCCTACCCTAAGTAACTGGAATTAACTAAACTAAACTAAAGAAAGGCAAAAGATTCCTTACCGCCTTGAGACGAACGCCTTGCCCCGCCGCCGGCACCAGAGGCGCCCGCGCCCGAAGCACCAGCACCAGATGCACCTGCACCCTGGGCGCCTTGTTCGGAAGTTCTGTCCTGGGGTGAGTTCGACATGTTGGACGGACACGAGGGACGTGGGTGACGCAAGCAGAGTCTGACAGGAGAGAGGGCAGAGCAAAGTGTAGAGAGATGTCAGAGCGAAGTCTTAGAGAGAAGTCAAATGGAGGAAAGTGACAAGGACGGAGGAAGGAGGGGGTATTTATAGGAGGCGAAAGTCCATGTCAAGAGTCACGCGGACATGCCACGTGTCAGTTTCACGGGTCGACTTTTGAGCTTCCCCCACCTTTCCTTCGCCGGAACTTTCGAAATTTCCCCTCTCGATTTTTCCAATCTCCATATTTGAAATTTCGAATTTTCCCGCCACGCGAAATGTGGAGCTCGCGTCAAAATTCCCCCCGTGAGGGGGGCATAAGGGATAGGGACGCCCGAACGGAGAAGGCCATGAAGAGGCGCCCCCGAAACACAGAAAAGAAATGTATTTTGCAAGACATATATCGCAAGGAGAATGCCGCGAAGAGATGCCCACGAAGCACAAGAAGAAACACATATAGCAGGAAGCATCGTCAAGGACGAGACGCCCCCCAGCAGAAGGAAAGAGTAAAGGCGCCTCCGCGCCCTGAAGAAAAAGTAGAAATGCAACATAGGGGCGTCCCATAACAGAGAAAGACCAAACCACAATAAAAGAATCAGTCAGGCGCTCAAAGATGAAGCCATGAGCACCTAACTGGGGGGCAATTGTTGGGGGTATTACAAAGCCAATTAGGGATTTGGGCTCCCAGACAAAGGAATTGGGGGGCAAGGCCCAAAAAAGGGTCCTGGGAAATGCCCCAAGGCCCAAACAAAGGGAAGGGCGCATGAAGACAAAACGCTAAAGGCCAAAGGAATCCAGACTGGCTGGTGGTCCACCACCTGGGAGGAGCCTGTCATGTGCCAGAAACCTGACAAGGTGGTTGGGGTGCCTGACAAGGAGAGTACAGAGCATTGAATGAGCGCAATGACGTGGAGGAGATCAACCTCGAGTTCGGTGAGTATAAATAGGGGCAGTTGGTAGCATTTACGCAGGTTGGACTCTCTCTCTAAAGAATACTATTTGAAAACACTTCTCTCTCTAAGAAACTAACTTGGGCGTCGGAGGATTAACGGGCCGGGCTGCCCTCCTTTTTGTGTGTGTAGGCAGGCGCCAGGCAAAGGGGGGCATCCGAACATCGCAGGAGTATCGTGGCTCAAACAAAACTCATTGAGAAGAAAAATTACTAGCGTTGCTTGTCAGGACGGCGATCGCACTGGGAAGCTCGTTGTTGGACGTAGGGAACCTGATTGTTAGGATGGGGACATCGCCGGTGCAGAGATGGCAGGGAAGTCTCGGCGGGTTGAGAAGCTGGAGAGACAATCAATGAGGCTGAAGAAGCTGAACAGACGCAGCAAATGGAGAAAGGCATACGCTGAACGGACGAAGAAGAATGAAGAAGGCAGACGCACAAGAAACCCTAACCTTCTAAACCTATTCTCATCGCAATATATTAAATTGGATTAAGTTTAAATTAATTAAAATTTCCTAAGTACCCTTAACTAACCAATAACCACTAACAACCACTAACTAATTAATAACTACTCTAGATTAATTTAACGACCAATATTAACTTACCAAACCTCTTAAGTTTGTGGATTAAAGACCTGAACCCATCCCACATTTTTCATGTAAAAATAGGATGCGGATCATACGGGTGACCCGCAATCCACCCACTCACACAATGATGGACCCAGGAATTTTAAATAGGGGTGTCCTCTTTTAAAAAATAAATTAAATAAAAAATTTTATTAAATAATTAATAAAAATTAAATAATTCTTATATAAGAAAATACTTGAACCGTACGAGTTAAAAAAGTCCATGATGTGTTCTCATATTCGAAAATAATTGTAAAATACACTTGGTGTCTACACTACTCAAAAAAATTGTCTTTATATATCCTACTAGAATCATTCATGAACTGATCACATATTCGATTTTTACACTTGTTCTTGATGTAACTCAAAGTTGAAAAGACTCTTTCAACACTTGTAGTACAACAGTGTTTAAAATAATTTATTTAATTTTTAGGTTTTGAAAATAATTAGAGATAGAGAATGACATTTTACTTTTACACATTGTTTCAAATTGAACAAAAAATGAGTTGTAGTCCAAAGAAAATTATTTTTTTAATAATAATTGTGTCCTGGGTTTGAATTATTCAAACTACAACTTATATTCCTATACACAAACTAAGAGCACTTCTACTATGCTATATAGCATTGGTGCTTTAATGTACAACTCAAAGTTGTACCATAACATTAAATGTATAAGTTTAGGTTGTACCATAAAGAAATTTGTACCATTATGTTATGGTACAACTTTACAACTTGAAGTTGTACCATCACATAAAGGTACAAGTTCAAGTTGTACCATAAAAGAATTTGTACAAAAAGTATAGGTACAATCTAAAGTTGTACCATAAAGGCAAAAACATATAGCACCAATACTATATAGCATTGTAAAATTTCTCCACATAAAAAATGAGAGTAGGATAATTATTTTTCAAATTTCAAAGGTGTCCCTGACTATCAATTATAATTTTTTTGTCCATATGTAATTTACCACCGGGGGTTGGATAATCATTTCCCCAAAATTTAGGGGTATCCCGGAACACCCCCAATCACCCGTGCGTCAGTCCCTGCATCCACATAAGTGCGGGTGGAAGATTTATCAATTCGCAATCCACCCACATCAATCACCCATTGCGTACGGGTTGAGTTATTTGTGGATGGATCGATATCAATCCGCGGATTAACCACCCACATGCCCTTCCCTACCATCTAATACTAGAGAAGCACCAGCTTTTTGGTAAAAAACAAGCAGTAGCTTTGTTCTATGTGGAAGATTACTTTTCATAAAAAAAGGAAATAATAAATAAACATGGAAACTAATAAATAGGATTCTCTTGTAGAATAAATGTGATCTGATTAATATAAATTTATAAATTAGTCTTGAGCCTCGTAGTATGCAGAATACAAATTTTTTTTAAATAACTTTCTCATATCTTACGGCAATGTTACAACACAAATGAAAATGTTGTGAATTATTATATAAAGGTCACTGTTCGCGGGAGTCCAATCAACGATCACTAGTCACCGAATTTTGTGGTCCACGTTATAAATTTATAATGTACTTTGTCGTGTTTATTCTCTGTTTTTATGGTTTGCTTTCTCGTATTTCTTGTATGCTTTTTTTGTTTGCTTTCTCATGTTTTTTGTTTTCTTTTTGTGGTTTGCTTTATCGTGTTTGTGTTTTGCATTAAAAGGTTTCTGGTGTGCATTCAAAATATTTTTGGTTTGCTTTGTGGAGTTTCTAGTATGTTTTAATAGATTTGTTGTATGCATTAGAAGGTTTTTGGTTTGATTTTTGTGGTTTGCTTTACCGTGTTTATGGTTTGTATTATAAGGTTTCTAGTAAGCTTTTGAAAATTCTGTGGTTTGTTTTATGGGGTTTGTGGTATGTTTTAAAGGATTTGTGGTCTGTTTAGGAGGTTTTTGGTATGCTTTTTGTGGGTTATTTTAATGCGTTTGTGGTTTGCATTAGAAGATTTCTGGTGTGTTTATATAATATATGTGGTTGTTTTATGAGATTTGTGGTTTGCTTTAGGGGATTTATGGTCTGCATTAGTAGGTTTTCTGTATGTTTTAGCAACTTTTGTGGTATGTTTTTTATGTGATTAATGAAATCCCATAACTAGGCATTCTGATCACTGAGCCCAAACGTTTCCTTTTTTTTAACATAGTCAAAACCGGACGAAAATCGGTAGACATAGTCAAAGAACAGAACAAATCCACGGGCGAAAGTCGACTAATCGTCGAACTTTCGATGAGAGAGCGTTTTTTGCCACAAAATGGGATGCTCTATTAACTCAATGAGTAACATGTGAGCTAGAACAAAACTCAAAGGATCTTGACAAACAATGATCATCTTCCACAATTGCACCACCCATCCCATAATAAGATATACCCGCCAAGAGCCGCCACATAATCAGTTGTGAATTCCATGCAATTTGAGCAAAAGAAACCATGTGGAAGGCACCAATCCAAGGCATCCTTCCACGCCAATAATTATGCAAGAAAAGAATCATCGATACTTGTAGAAAACTTACCCATTGCGAACAGAATCACGCTGGAAAGATCACGCCGAACAAAAGCAGTCCCTACACCTCTCCTCCAGTGGCCAAATCCATTAACGCCTACCGGCAGTAAAAAATCTCACCATTCGTCGGTAAGACGTTGTCAGCCAGTCTGCAACTACTTTGAAGCCCCTGCAAAACGTTTGTCGTAAACCACAAAAATATTGCATAGATGGAGGCAAACCCGACCTGGGCGCACGATGGCGTGGGGCAATTAACTGCTAGAGCGCAAAGTGGCGCGAGAAAGAGAATGAATAGGCAAAGCGTCTACAATTCATGGCTAGCGGAAGGGCATCGGGGTCGATCTCTGAATCCCCACTGCCATGTTGATCTGCAGAATCCTTCACTGGCCACCGCATCGAACTTCAACGCCCCCACCGATCTCGGAATCTCCATAGCCGCCACCATCGTTCGAACCCCACTCTGCTGAGTCGTGCAGTAGAATCCCGCACCATCCCGTTGAGTCATAATTCCACCGCACATCTATCTGCAGAATCCCCCGCCACATCGAACTTCAATACCGCAGCGCCGGGTCGATCTCCAAATCCGCAACCGCTAGCGATGGAAGTTTTCCGGGCCGATCAAAAAGCAACTTCTATTTCTTGAAACCGCTGGAATCTTGTCGTCGGAGGAACGGTGAACTCGTTCGCAATAATACCCCGCCGGTTTGCCCCTTTCCTTCCCCCGTACACCCCATAGACATCGCGTATCAAAAGTTGCCATTGAGGACAAAGAACTCGTCAAGCGACTCCCTGCGTCGAAGCGGTTGTTTAGTAACCGCCTTCGAAAAAGGAAACTAGACCGAAATCAATCTGGTCGATCCGTCACCATCAGGTCAGATTTTGTGGCGAGCAATGATAAAGGCATAGCAAATCGAGGGATAAAAGAAGGAACCATTTTTTCCCATCTCCCTCTCATCAATTTCGGAATACCGTTCAAAATACAAATATGTTAGAAACCAAGTTCCTAACAGATCAAGGAATTGGAGAATTGGCTAGGTCAATGAGAGAATGACCAAGCTAGGGATTTGAGAGGAAGGGAGTTGAGAGATCGAGGGTGTTTGGGGAGGAGAGGCTGCCGCGGCAACCTTGGGGAAGGAAGAAGAAGAGAGACGTGGGAGGAGGGAGAGAGAGGGAGGATTAGGGTTGAATAATTGGTTCTGTAATTTCCCAATGAGAATAATCCCACTAATTACACATTATATAGTCCTGATAATGTCTATTTCCTACCCAACTAAATTAACATAACAATCGACTCCCTGTTTATTTCCCGAATTCCCCAATTAATCCCCCAATCATCCAAAATCTACAAATAATACCGAATAACAAAAACTGCAATTAATGTGTTTCTAACATCCCCGCCTTCTTGAAAAACAACCTTGCCCTCAAGGTTGTGGCTCCTACTCCAAATCCAGCGGCCCTTCTTTTGCTACTTCCTCCTCCGCCTCATCTTCCCAGCGGCCCACCAGCATCATCAAGTCGGGCTTGGCGCAGTTGTGTCCCATAGTGAACCTCTCGTCACAGTTGAAACACGTTCCCTCTCTTCTCTTCTGATCAATCTCCTGGGGTGATAGTCGCACGAATCCCTTCGGGGGTGGCCTAGGGACTTTCCGAGTTGAGGTGACGGCGCCAGCTATAGTCGAGCCTGCTCCAATGGACGCGTTCGCTCCTCCGCCGCCCGACCCGATGCCACCACCTCCACTTCTGCTTGCTCTCGAGAAGCGCCCAATCGTGCTCCTCCAGCTGGCCAGCTCCTCCTCGTTATAACCTGCAAGACGAAAAGCATACCGCAGCGAGTCTGGTTCAAAAACCTTAACCGCTGCGGCGATCTCTGGCTTTAGGCCAGCCATACACAACCCAACCAGGGTCTCCTCCGGTACTCCCTTGCATTGATTGCCCAATTTGAAAAATTATGCCTTGTACTCCGTCATTGTTCCCGTCTGACACAACTTAGCCAGTTGCTCCGGCGCCCACCCTTCCGACTTACCAAACTGGTATCGCAGCTCCTTCTTGAACAAGGGCCAGGTGATCAAGGTCTGGGCAGGTGCGCACGATCGCTCTAGCCATTCCCACCACTGTAGTGTGTCCCCCTCTAAGTAAAAGACGCCACATGCGCCTTTCTCTCTTCCTTGGTGGGATGGTTTTTGAACCATCTATCAGCTGCATACAACCAAAGGCCCGCATCCTCCTGACCATTGGATTTCGGAAACTCAATGGTAGGAGGTTTATCCCTAAATACCAGGTCACCATCAAAGCCACGAGGGTAGCCGTCATACCTTTCGTAGCCCGAAACTCGGTCATGATAGTCCCAGAAAAGCTGCGATCCTCTGCCTCGGCCCCACCCCTCTTCCTCCTCGAATGGGTACTCCTCATATTCGTCCGGTCCCACCTTGTGTCCCACCGGCGAGCGGGGACCATGAAACGACGGATAAGAGGGTCCAGAACCCCTGGCGAGCTCTCTTCCGGCTTCTGGTCCCCTACCACCCGATCTGCCCAGAAACTGGTCGGTCCGGTTCAACTCGCCGGTTCACCCCCGGTCCGGTCCACCCTTGCCGGCCCGAGTCTTCTCGGCCTACCCTAGTCCATCCGCCCTGTGCCGGGCCCCACCCAGGTGGTCGATCCGCCTCCTTCGTCGAGCCCCGCCCAATCACACCCTTCCCGACCGAGCTCCTTGCCTGCCCGGTCAGGTCCAGCTCATCTTCCTCATCAAGGCCCAACCACCCCAGCCCATTGGGTTCCTTGCCACGGCCCAGCTTCCCTCCTTGGCCCATCGGTTCATCCGGCCCGAAACTCAACTTAGGCCCCGCATGGTCGTGATCTCTTGGGCCGACGGTGTCTCTAACAGACCCGACCCACGACCACGCCCACGCCCACGCGCTCTGATGGTCGCGCGTTCTGCGTTGCCAGGCTCCTTGTCCGCCGCCTTTTCCCCTTCAGCCTCCGCCGCCGCCTCGCCCTTCGGCACCGCCGCTGTCTTGACCGAGGAGAGCCCCCCGCCTGTCGCGCCTCCGCCGTTCACCGCCGATTCGGCCGGGACCGTGGTTAGCCTCACTACGGTCACCCCTCTGCCTGTCGTGCCGCCGACTTGGACGAGACCAGAGTTGGCCTCGCCGCGATCTCCGCTCCGATCTCCTTCGCCTGTAGCAATGCTACAGCTCCCATCAGGTTCTCCAACATCTGACGAAGACCCTCAGCATCGTTCTTCGCTTCTGCCTGCAGCCTCACCAGCCCTTCCTCGAGTCGAGCCAGCGCTCCTAAGTGCTCGTGCACCACCGCCTTCACCGCCTCGAGCTCCGTCTCGCCCTCCACCACGCCGTCGAGGCCCTTGTCGCCAGCCTTGGTGGCTTTCTTGACCGCCTACTCTGCCACGGATTGTGTCTTGTTCTACACCATCATCTTCTTACGTCCGCCCTGGTTCAAGAGTTATGTGAAACTCACTCTCGAACCGTGCTCTGATACTAGGTCTTAGAAACCAAGTTCCTAACAGATCACGGAATTGGGGAATTGGCTGGGTCAATGAGAGAATAACCAAGCTAGGGATTTGAGAGGAAGGGAGTTGAGAGATCGAGGGGGTTTGGGGAGAAGCGGCTGTCGCGGCAACCTCGGGGAAGGAAGAAGAAGAGAGACGTGGGAGGAGGGAGAGAGAGGGAGGATTAGGGTTGAATAATTGGTTTTGTAATTGCCCAATGAGAATAATCCCACTAATTACAGATTGTATAGTCCTGATAATGTCTATTTCCTACCCAACTAAATTAATATAACAATCAACACCCTGTTTATTTCCCGAATTCCCCAAATAATCCCCCAATCATCCAAAACAGACAAATAATATTGAATAACCAAAACTGCAATTAATGTGTTTCCAACAGAATATCTATTGAATCTATGACTCCAAATGTTTCCTTTTCTTTTTTGCCTTTCATTTTTACAGTTTAATGACTTTTAGGCCAAAGTCTATTTCCAAGCCCAATTCTTGTCCAAGAGAAAGAGGACCAAAACCAAACTATATGTTTTGTCTTCGCTTCTTCCCTTTTCATTTCTTCTGGTTTCTGTGAAATAAAAAACCACCAAATTTGAAAGCTTGAATCTCTAGCCATTTCACAGGAATCTGACTCCTGATCGGAAGAGTGAGAAAAGGCAGGTGGTGGATGGTGAGCAAGAGATTGGGATTGAGAAGGAAGTGAGTGAACAGTTGGTGAAGCTTCAAAAGAAACTGGTGATTCGGGTCCGATTGTACACATTTTCCCCCTCATATCTTAATCGTTTGGCTTTGCATTCCTTCGTACCTCGACATATTTCACGCTAGGTTGTGCTTGTTTTGATACATTTCAGGTCCTATCACGCATGGAAGGGTCGAGGACAAGTTGTGGGACGATTGGAGGTCGAAAAGTGCCAAAAAGTGAAAAAAACGTCCAAATTCACGGTGTAAGAAGCAGAGGCGTCTAAGAATTAGTTGGAGATCACGGCCTGGCATTGGATTTCTCGACCTCTAAGGCCGTGAACTGGAACCACAAACCGTGAACCGTGAGGCGTCCAGGGAGAAATCTACCGTTACTAGCGCAAGGCGAGTACACAGTCAACAAGACCGTGAACAATGAGTGCAAACCGTGAACCCAGGAGAGTGAAGCGGTGCGTTTTGGAGACGACACTGATTTCACTGACGCGTTTAGGTGTTCACGACCATGAATTGTCCATTGGCCAACGCAACCGTGAACTAGTCACTTTCAGGCAAATATCAAGACAATTGCAGGGAGAGAGAAAAGGGAGCTGGTTTTTGGAGCTTAATTAAAGGCATTGATCAAGCTCAGGAGCTAGGAATCAAGCCTAGAAGAAGAAGATGAAGATCTAGAGGTTTCTTTGTAATCCGTCATCTCTCTCTCTCTAGAAACTCACCATTTTCTCTTGGGTTTAAGAACCCTAGGTCAAGATTTGGGTTTAATGTTGATGTATGTGACAAAGTCCATGATTGATTGATGATTTTACTTAATTGATGGATGTTTTCATGAATGGCATGAGTTGGGTTTCCATTTTCATGTATTGAGCTTTTGACCTAGGAGGGAGA